TCTCGAGCATCAAATTCGCAATCTAAAAATCATCTAACTCATTGGCCAAATAAATTAAAAGGATTAAGCATAGAAAAACATAAATGAATTGAAAATTAAATTAAATTAACAATCAACAAATTATTCAAAACATAGTTCAAATAAAACTACATCAAGTCCTAGATTTAATGTCTAGCTCAACATGGAAAAATAGATGAAAGAAGATAAAACCCAATATCCATTGAAGAGCTTCCAAGGACCTCCAAGATGAAGGATTTCGGCCTCCTTTTGATGTTTTCTTCAGATTTCCGGGCTCTCTTCTCAAATGGCATCTCTTTCCTTTTATACTACAACATTTCGGAGCTAGGGCTTCATACGCGCGCTGCAGCCTGCTTGAAAACACGCTGCGACACGCATTTTTGGAAGAGGATCCCGCTGTTGCGGGTTGGGGCGCGCCGCAACACCTTTGGGCGCGCTGCAGCGCGTGGGGCAATCATTGAGCGCGCTGCAGCGCGCGTTCCTGCTCTGCTTCCTCTTTTGTGCCTTAAAATCATCTTTCGCCTCCTATTGGCATTAATTCACATGTTGGACAAATATTCTTCTTTTCTTCATGCAAGATCATCTAAGTTCGCATTTATTTCTAATTCCTATAAAAAGCATACAAAAGACATTAAACTAACAAAAATGCTTGAAGACTTACAAATATTCAAGCTTAAAAGTACTTGATTTGTTGGTAGAAATACCCCTCATCAATAATCGAGTGTTTAAAAGGAACCACTTTTCAATGGACGGAAGCTGCGCAAAAGAACTTTGAACTTATCAAGTCTAAGATGACGCGAGCATCGATTCTTTGCCTACTGAATTTTGAAGTTGTGTTTGAAGTAGAGTGTGATGCATCGGGAGTTAGAATTGGAGGAGTTCTTAGTCAAGAAGGTAAACCTGTTGCCTACTTCAGCGAAAAGTTAAATGATGCAAAGCTGAAATACTCAACATATGACAAAGAATTCTATGCCATTATTCGCGCCTTGACACATTGGAGCCATTATTTGTTACCAAAGGAGTTTGTGTTGTATTCAGATCATGAAGCTTTAAAGTACTTGAATAGCCAACAAAAGCTCAACGTGAGGCATGCTAAATGGGTGGTGTTTTTGCAAGCCTTTCAGTTTGTCATCAAGCACAAAGCAGGTAAGTTAAACCAAGTGGCAGATGCCCTTAGTAGACGCCATAACTTGCTGACCTCTTTGCAAACCTCGGTTGTTGGTTTTGAACACATTACAGAACTCTATGATGTTGATCCTGACTTTAGCTCGATATGGAAAAGATGCTTAGCAGGACCTCAACGGATGTTTGTTATTCGTGATGGTTATTTGTACTATGGGAAGCAATTATGTATTCTCCAGGGATCGTTACGGAATTTGATACTTATGGAGGCTCACGAAGGAGGTTTAGCTGGACATTTTGGACAAAAGAAGACTTTGAGGCTTGTCCAAGAAAATTTTTATTGGCCAAAGATAACTAAAGATGTCAATCGGCTTGTGGAGCGATGTGCAACGTGTAAGAAGTCCAAGATGCAAGGGAGCAATGCTGGACTTTACTCCCCTTTGCCTATTCCGACGTCACCATGGGAGGACATAAGCATGGATTTCGTGTTGGGACTTCCCAGAACCCAAAAGGGAAGAGACTCCATTTTTGTGGTGGTTGATCGTTTTTCCAAAATGGCACACTTCATAGCTTGCAACAAGACATCGGATGCAACCAACATTGCAGATTTGTTCTTTCACAATATTGTTAAGCTACATGGTATTCCTAAGACTATACTCTCTGATCGGGATTCGAAATTTTTAGGCCACTTTTGGAGAACTTTGTGGGCTAAATTGGGAACTCTGCTAAAGTATAGTACCTCTCACCATCCCCTAACCGATGGTCAAACAGAAGTTGTCAACCAAAGCTTAGGAGCTTTACTACGTGCCTTGGTGACAAAGAATATACGTGAATGGGAGTCTCTCTTGTCCATAGCTGAGTTTGCTTTCAACAAGTCTATTAACCGGACTACAGGACAAAGTCCATTTGAAGTGGTATATGGTAAAAATCCCCTAGGACCTCTTGATCTTTCTCCTATTGACACTAACCACAACTTTAGTGGTGATGCTGAAGAAAGGGTTAAACAATTCAAGAAGTTGCATGAACACGTGAGGCAACAAATTGAAAAGCAAACAGCAACATACAAAGAGAAGGCAGATGCTCATCGCCGGCCATTAGAGTTTAATATTGGAAACTTGGTGTGGATTCACTTGCAAAAGGAACGGTTTCCTAACAGGAGGTACCCGAAGTTGCAGCCAAGAGCTGATGGCCCTTTCAAGGTTCTATAACGTCTTGGTGATAATGCTTATCGTTTGGAGCTACCCGATGATTATGGCATCTCCCCGGTGTTTAATGTTGCTGATTTGTCTCCTTACTTTCCGCTTGATTCGAGGACGAATCCTTTTCAACCAGGGGAGAATGATGAGCACCAAGAAGTGGAGCTCGTGGGCCAGCATGAAGTAGGGCACGTGGAAGACTTGGAAGATGGCCAGCAAAAAGTGGAACACGTGGAAGACTTGGAAGCCCAAGTGCTGTCAACGGTTCAACAATTTTACAATAGAGCCGAATTCTATAATGGGGAAGAATTGTTGGGCCAAGAGGCAACACAAGTCTTTGTGTTATTCAACATTGAAGAAGATCAGATCCAAGAAATAGGCCCTTGATGTGTGGAATGCATGGAAGGCAAGGGAGGGACACGTGGCTGGAGTTTTTGATTACTTTTCCTTTTTGACCTATGAATTACTTTCCTGTTTTGTAATCAATTATAAGTTACCGTTTTGCTTAGGCTAAGTTTCCTATTTTTTAAGATTGTTTCCTATTTTTGAGATTGTTTCCTGATTATAAGTCTTGTTTTAAAAGGACCCTTATACTACAATGAAAGATAGACCTAATTTACGCAATTTTGAGTGCTATATTTTTTTAGAACGATTTTTTGTTCCGATCTCTTAGTAGATGCGTCTTTGAGAGTTTGGGTTTGATTCCTTGGAAAGTCCTTCAAACTTCACGTTTATAGTCTGCTTCCGCTAGCCTGAAAAGGGTATTCGCTGGAGTGTAACCTTTGGTTAAAGTATTATGTGTTTTAACGGGTGTACAACCTAGAAAGCACATCAGTTGTTAACCAACGTACTATGACTGACACATTAAGAGTCCGCCAATTGTTCGGTCATAGTACTATGACCGACGGTCATAAGTGTTATGATTGATGACCGCCCATAAAAAAAGTATTATGATTGGCACACTAAGAGTCCGACAATTATGCGGTCACATTACTATGACCGAGGGTCATAATGCTATGACTGCAGGCTCATCAGTCAGGCAATCGCACCTGCCTAATGAGCGGTCATAGTAATTATGACTGTCGGTCATATTCTTATGACCGCACGATGTACCTGTCTTATGATCGGTCATAATAAAATTACCAAGCAGACATAATGATATGACTGGCCATCAGACAGAGTCACAGACCAAAGAAGGAGCACAATGACAATCCAATGACTCCTAAAAATTTCAAATAGCTGATCTTATATGCTTTTATCTCCTCCTCCAAAACCTTTTTTTTCTAAGATGACAGAAAATGATAAAAGAAAAAAAAACAATAAATACCTAAGAAAAAAAAATCAACAAGAAAAATCAACAAAATTTTCACCTTTATCTCGGAATCCGCCATTGACCTCGTCTGTTTCGTGCTGATTTCTCTGGCGAAGAGGGTGAGGTTTCCTCAGTTTAATCCCCGATATAGGTACCTAGAATTCTTCTACCAACAAAGTAAAAATTTTCCCGAGAAATATAATTTGCAAAAACATAGCTATCTATTAATCCAACAAAAAAAAAAACTTTTTTAAAAAAAAAAAATTCCCTTTAAAGTCTAACATTTCTCCAAATCATCCTTGTTTTTTTTTTTTTTGGTTTTGGAAAGTTTAGAAGCATGTACAATTGAAGGGGTAATCAAATACCTTTTGAAAGTGTATCGTTCAAAATTTTTATCTTTTACTTTTAATTCATAACATTTTTAGTTAAATAATTACACTAATAAAAGACTATTTATCAAGAGTACGAGGTAAAAATTCAAACTCATACATTCTTAAAAATAAATTCTCTATTTTTTCAAAATTGTTAATCCATAAAAAACTTGGCACAAGTAGATAAATTCTACCAAATGAGTTGTAGTATTTTTAATTTCATTTCTTGCCATAATTTAAGCAAACAGTCACAACTTACAAGCAAAAAAACCTTTGCTTAAGAAATAAAAAAAATATAGGAATGCGGATACCAAATAGTGTAAGCAAAATTGGGATATCATTTTGGTTCTGTATAAAAAGGCTCGTTTTCCTCTTGAAACAAAACGTTCGCAATTTAAACATCATGGGGCTATTCACTCTACGCCTGGCAGTAAGCTCATATTACTAATCTCCAACCGAAACCAACTGTAACCAAAATTATTATCGAATTTAATTGGTGAACTCTATCTTGAGTACCTTTAACTGCATGGCTAGGCTTTCTTGCTCTCTTATTGGCAATTGGCAAAAATCATAAATATTTCCAGCAAATGTCAAGACCAAGCTTCTACGTGGTACTTGCCAGCCCTTTCAAGTGCCCTAAGCCATCTCACAGCAGATTCTTTTGGAAGCCCGCTTTCTTTGGAGATAATTTCTTCAAAGGCCGACAACACATCCGAGGGCATTTTAGTGGAAGAGCCTGCAACATACACAGCAGCCCCCTCACTCAGTAAGCTCCAGACCATATGGCTGTGTTCGCGCATCTTGTGCTGCACATAAACCTTCTGTGGCTGATCTCTCGAGAAGGCAACGAAAAAGCCGCCACCCTTTGTTTCAGAAAGCACCCCGCCATTTTGGGTGTGGGACAACCAAAAATCTCTGTACAAATAGTCATTTTCCTCATTTTGGCAGCCAAAGAAAAATATAACTGGTGCAGTTTCATGAGTTCTGCTTTGGATGGCTCTCTCCTCCACAAATCCGTGAAATGGCGCGCAACCGGTTCCAGGCCCAACGAGAATGAGAGGAAGTGAAGGTGGTGGAGGAGGAAGGGAACCTTTATTGAACCAAGCTGGAATATAGATGCCTGTCCGTGAAAAACAAATAAATAAATACCTACACAAAGCCATACGGTCACCGACCAATAATGTACTTGAAGAGTTGAATTTATGCCTTACATTGTTTAGGATCAAGCTTGCTTAACCACGTTGAGCAGAGACCTGAACGTTTCCTTTTAAACGATGTAGTCCATGACACCACGTTTACAGTTAAGTGCACTTGGTTCGGATGAGCTGCTGGGGAGGAAGATATTGAAAAAGCTCTTGCTTTCAAAGGAGGGACCAACTGCACCAGCCATTCAAGCGGCATTTGAACGGAAGGGAAATCTTCTAATACCTGTATCACAAGGAAAAAAAGACTGGTCTAATGATGTGACAATTACCAAACAACTCAGCTGGCATCTAACAAATCTGTTAATTATTAACCTGCGAAATGATCGATTAAATTTATGTTTTAATATTTTAAAAGGTTTTGGCATGGAAAAATTATTATGTTTGGGATGGATATCAGCATTCATGCAACAATATGCCATATTCAGAGAACAATGCAGCGCACGCACACAGAACAATCTGCAAAGAAAAATAATAACTAAATAATGTGACGGCCCGAGTGAGGGTGAAATGCACATATTAATTTGACATCACCTCCAGAACAGTCCTCCGTTCTTTCTGATTGTATTGGTATAGGTCATCTCTTCCTTCAGGTGAAGCAAAATAATGCAGTCTTTCCTTTTCATGAGTAGCTGTAGCAAAATAACTCATGACCTAGCAAAAGCAAAAGCATGATAATAAAGAAGAGTACTTGAATGCACATGTTTGGTAAAATATTCCTTGATTTCAGTTAATGATAAAGCACGAACTAATGCATTTAATTTAGCAATGACAATCAATAGCTCATGGAATAGTATGATTAAAATAGGTAACGTAGAGTTTCATATAAACTGTGGTGATTGTCTCCAGATATTGCAAGTAAAAACCAAGAGTTGAAAACATACTGGGTCCTTGCCTCGAAGAAATAGCGCCGAGGTGAAGCTGATGCAACATCCATTGTCATGCTGACAAAAGATTTTAATTTTACAGGTACTGCTGTGGCATTTGCATGAGCATCAAGGTCATTCTCCCTCTCCACAAGATGAACCTGAAATTAATTGTTTGTCGAAGGAAATATCTAGGCGGCATAAATCTTGACCAAGACCGAGTACTATCACCCATAATAAGGTATATACAAGAGAAACTACTTACAGTTATAAAAGCTTCAGGATCCAAATTGCAACGTTGTATGAAAGCATCCACTAAAGCTGGATCCTGACCAGGGAGAACTTCAACGTTGTCTCCAACTTCATATTCAACAACCTGTTTATAATTTTTTTTAAAAATAAAGAATAAAAAGAAGAGGACTTTTGGATGACAAAGGGAAAAACACGATAATTTTGCTTGAACACAGCAAGTACTGAGAAATGGAAATTAAGTAGCTTCTACTCAAGGAGAGCAGAAAACTTACAGATGAAACAAATTCGAATTCAAAGTGGCGCACATCTCTTCCATAATCTTCTTTAGTTAGTGGTTGATTTTTTACCTGTACGAGCAAGCGTAGAAGAGTTACATAATGCATACAACAAGAAGACTCCTCTCTTTTCTTTTCTTTTTTTGCTAAACCATGATTCTTATATCCCTTGTTTAAGATACTTAGGGCATGTTTACTTTGCATCAAAGGGAAAGGGGACGTAAGGAGTGATTCCCTTTCCCATCGAATAATGTGTTTACTACAAAATTAGTAATAGAGATTTAGTGGGCCCTACACAAAATGGGGAATGAAGAAAGGGAATATCAATCCTTACACCCCTGTTAGTATTCATTTCTTGTCAAAGGGAATGAATGCTAAATTTACTTATCTACCTTCAATGAGTTAAATACTATACAATCAATGATTATTTAATTGTGTAAAAGGACATTTTAGTGATTACATTCATAACACTACTATTCCTAATTTTAGTAAACATAAGAAAGGGAATAGAGGTGTTTCCCATTACACCATCTAATAGTCAAGCAAACATATGAAAGAGAATGAATGACCCTTAATCCTATTACTTTACTTTCCTTTCAAATCCCATTACATTCCTTTACAGTTTGGTAAACGCGCCCTCAATGTTTTTGTTCATTTACACCAAAATTGTTAGCATATTGATGATATAGATTCGTCTCCATCGGGATCAACAATGAGTTTTTCCAGTTCGTTTTCTTAACCAAGAGACATGATTCAACGCCAATTATCTACGTTCTTTTGTTTATAAATATATGTCAATAAATTTGATAACCCTGTAAAGTATGAAATCGAAAAACTTGGCATCTACTATGATAGAGAATGCAATCATACCAATTTAAGAAAGCAGTCTGGCCTATTCCTGTCACGAGAAAATTTTGCAGCAGACATACTCCGAGCTGTTGCAATTTGCATCTCAGTACATTTTAAATCTGAAACTACACAGGTAATGTTTAGTGGGACATAACTAAACCAATTATTTGCAAAAGGAAACTGCTAGACCCATATACATTTAAAAAACAAAAGAAAAAAATTTGAATAAGCTTGGTATATTGTCTTGATCATATGAATAAGCAAAAGCAGCATAAATGACTAGGAGAGTTAAGCGAAAATTACTACAGAGGTATAGTCAAAGGACTGTAGTGATCATGAGCTGTTTAAAAAACTATACAAATTTGAAATATGGACTTGTTGTGGCTATACAAAGTAGAGAAATCCACACAGGTAAGTTACCTAAATTACATGAAAATTGTGAATTTGTCTTGGCCATGACATGATATGTGATATGAAATTTTGGTTGACCAATAGACTGCTTAGATGGAATAATATAATCTGGACCATTTGAGAAGAATTTAGGGTTGATCTTATTCAACATGTCCCACAAAGATGTCATCCATGGATCTAGAGCAGCCTCGTACCTGTCGAGGGAAATTCTTCTCATGAGTCAAGTAAATTGCCAAAAGAAAACAATATTTTGGAATCAAAAATAGAAGAGCTTAGATATTTCATTTTTGTTATAATATACCAGGTGCCTCAAGCAACTAAACGTTTGAAATCTCAATGACAGGAATAAAGCGTCAAAGTTAGACTCAGATAAAAATAGATGCTTTCTGATCTTTCTGCTAGTTAATGCAAAACTTCTAGACAATTTATATTTTACCGAAATCATACCCTGATGGGTGCTGATCATCTCCCAAACCTCTTTCAACAATGGCCACTGCCCCAAGATCTGAAAGTCTCCTGTCAAGCTTCTTTGCAACGAACTGAAAGAAGTGAAAAAAATTGTTAAGTTCCATGCATCATTAGCAATAAACTCCACAATCACATAAAGCTAAACCAGATGTCAGCAAAAAAAGAAAAAAAAAGATTAAAAAAAAAGAGATTAAAAAAAGATAGAGCTAAAACACATAAAGTCTGTAAAACATGTTCGTGACTAGACTCCTTCACAAGCCTTGATCTTTATCAATTATCAAAGCAACAAATGATCATGATACTCTATACCCAATTCACCATCTTTTACATAAACTCAAGCAGATAATTTATGCAACAAATATCAAGAAGACTAAAAAGAGAAAGAGATATCGTTACATTGTATTTCTGGTAACCAGAATCACCCAAACCAAAAACAGCATAATGAACTCCTTCTAGCCAATTCTGAACCAGATTTCTCTGCAAAAGGATCTTCCAAAATCCCTGCATATAAATAATGAGGATGCAAAATTAACAACAACAAAAAAAATGCTGCAAAACCATAAAGTTATAATCTTCATTGTTAATATAGCACCATGATAGGTTACAAACCAACCTTCATGGAATCCGGAGTATCTCCCTGGCCAGTCGTTGAAACAACAAACACCACCGCGCTCTCATGTGGCAAGGAAACCTAAGAAATAAAAAATTAACATCCGAATCAATAAAGGACTAATTTTCTCGAGAACCAAACAGGCGTGAGTAAGTAGAATTAAAGCATGGAACGGAAGGCTTACGGCGTCGTATTCGTCTACAGAAAGAAGCTTGACGGAGCAGCCTCGGCGGTCGGCTTCACGTGCCACCTGCTCAGCCGCGTCCAACGCATTTCCCGTCTGTGTCGCATACAGAATCAGTAGCTTAGGTCTCTCTTCCATGGCCTCTGCAATTAACGAAGAAACCAAAGGCAATGGTAGGTAGAGACCAATTGAATTAGCTTTGTAACTGAGATTTTAGAGAATTAAAATTCTGTGATAAGGGAAAAAAAAATCATTTTGGTAGCCTCTGTTGCCTTCGACGACCTAATGCAATTGAAGGAGAAGAGATCCCAAACCCTAATCTGGCGACTGTAGACGGACGAGAAGAGAAACTTGTCGTCAGGGCTGAGCACGAAGGTCTCCGCCGTCGATGGTGGAGCGAATGGCGGCGTTGAAGAAATCGACGATCTTGATTGACTCACTGCCGGCGCAGACGAGTAAGGAGCCGTTCTAGGAGACCACCAACGGACAGCCGGCGTAGAACTGCTGCGGGGACGACACGCAACTTCTAGTTGGAGATCCTTGTATTAGGGTTAATCTTAAATTTGACCCACCAAAAATAGCCGCAGTCTTATTTTGTCCTCAAAAATTCAAAACAGTACAAAAATAGGCCCGAGCTTAAAAATAAATAAATTGCATCCCAAGTATTCTTTTTTTTTTTTTTTTTTTTTTACATAGATCTCGAACTTTCAATTTAATAAATTTTACCATGAATTTTAAAACCATTTATAATTAAGGTCTGATAGTTGACGGCGTTATCAAATTACAGTGTTTAAGATACGAGATTTGCACATGACGTGATTTAAAAATGATAATAATGTCTTTCATGTACAAATCTCGTGTCTTAAAACTGTCAAATTTAATAATGTTTATGAGCTATTATACTCTAATTACAACTGATTTTAAATTTTAAGATGCAATTTGTTAAAATTAAAAATTTAGAGCTTATTATGTAAAAAAATGAATAATTTAGAGTGTAACACTGTAATTTATTCTGAAAAATTACAACTTTAATAAATTCTAGGAATAAAAGTATCAATTTTTTAAAGATTGTAAGCACATGTAGGTTACGTAAATTTTAGATATTTAGACTCCGTTCATTTTACCGATTCGAGTTTAAAATTTGAGTTTTGTTACAGTAAAAAGTTCTCATAAACAGACACATCTAACTTTTTTACTATAGTAAAAGCTCTCACATAAAGTCACATCTTAACTCGAATTAAAAATTCGAATCAACGAACTAAACGGGCCCTTATTATCCTTAGACAAAGTAGTTATGCTCGTAAGGGAAACTTGTCAAAATCACCACAAAGGGAGAGTGGTCTCTATAAGGGAGACTTTCGGTGATTTACAACTATGATCCGTAACGTTATGCGAGTCGGTTGTCTATCTGATCTTAGATGATTAGCTATTTGTATCGTACAAGTAATAAGTAAACGTTTGGTTCATGAATTCAGAATTATTCTTATTTTACGTGTGTTTTTTGTCAGAGAGAAACACTGTATAGAACTATGAATCATGATTCAGAATCAGAAACGAATACAGAAAATAAACATAAATAATTTTACAATAGTGGGAATTTATAACACATGTGATTATTACTTACTAAGACCTCGTTCATTTCACTGATTCGAGGTTTTAATTTCAGTTTTGCTATAGTTAAAAACCCTTATAAAAAATCACATTAAACTTTTTTACTACAATTAAAAACTCTCACATATAGTCACAGAACTGCACGAGGCCTAAGGCTTTTGTTCATATAATTCATGTGATACCAACATGCAGGTTGGAGTTGGTGTGGTTATACAGTAGAAGACTAGAGGTTGATTAAATGAGTTCTTAAAAGTCCCATGACAGTATAAAATGTCTATAATCTATCTATACCTACAACACACGTGAAAGCTAATTGCATTTACTGTGCATCTTCTTACATTTATACTGTTCAAACTTTTTATTCAACAATTTTGTATTTGTTTATCTCTCCTTTGATGGTTTCTCAAACCGGATTTTCAAAAAAAAATTGTGCGAAAGCGTGGTATCGATCGAATCACATAAATTAAAATTTAATGCGATCATTATTTCATGTTAATTTAACTACAAAGATATTAAAGAAATGAATAAGGATTTGACCGTCGTTCGATTAGGACGAAAATCTTGAACTCCTCCAACACCGTCTTGAGCTCTTAAATTCTAAGAATACCACAGTTCTTTCTCACTGTATCTCCGAATTAACGTGAATTCGAACGTGTGGGCGTTCTAATGGGTTTCTCAACACATGAGATGGATGAATAGGGCAGTCACCTATAGTTATCACTCATTTTTCTCAAAAGTATACGATGGCACTCAAGAAATTTTCTTTGGTTTTTCTTTTGTTCTCCCGTTCTTTCCTTTTCTTTCTTTCTTTTCTCTGGAAAAAAACTTTTTTGTTCCTCCGAGAAAAACCAGAACTCATTCCCGTTTTGAGTAAATGTGCAGCCGCACATTTACTCTATTTCTTCATGGTGAGGAAACGTGCAACATCACGTTTCCTCCCACTCCCCTTTTTTTATTTAAATGAGGAAACGTGCTGCACGTTTCCTCTTTTATATATATATATATATATATACACACACACATTAACAGGGAGAGTGAAAAGAGAGGAAACGTGGAGAATAAAAGAAAATTTCCTTTTTATAAAAAAATAATTAAATTCATCCAAATTAATTTAAAACAATTTTAAATTAATTTTAATATTAATTAATTAAATTAATTAATATATGTGTATTTAGAATTCTTAATTCTAAATTAATAATCATAACCCAAT